CCCGATGCGGGGCTCGATCCCAGGACTCTGGGATCATGACCTGCGCTGAAGGCAGACGCTTAATGACTGAGCCACCCAGGCACCCCTAAAAGTATAAAACTCTTAAAAGAAAACATAGGGGATTTGGATTTGGCAACGATTTCTCGGATAGGATTCCAAAAGCACAGGGAGCAAAAGTAAAAATGGATAAATCGGACAACAATAAACTTTAAAACTTTGTGCCTCAAAAGACACAATCAACAGAGTGAAAAAGTTGCCTACAGAATGGGAGAAAACACCTGCAAATCCTATATCTGATAAAGGGCTAATATTTAGAATATGTAAATATCTCCTACTGTTGAGTTGTAGGCAACAACAGCAACAACAAAAACAGCCCAATTAAAAAATTGGCAAAGCATCTGAACAAAGTTATTCACATGACCCAAATGCCCAACAAGCACATGATAAGATGCTCAACATCCCTCACATCCCTCATCACTAGGGAAATGCAAACCAAAACCGCAATGAGATACGACCTTACACGCATTAGGATGGTAACTGTGAGAACACACAGAAAATAACGAGGGTTAGTAAGGATGTGGAGAAATTGGAACGTTTGCACACTGCTGGTGGGACTGTAAAATGGTGTAGCTACTACGGAAAACAGTATGATGGTTCCCCAGACAATTAAAAATAAAATTACCATATGATCCAGCAATTCCACTTCTGGGTATCTACCCAAAAGCAGTGAATGCAGGGACTTGAATAGGTATTTGTACATACATGTTTATGGCCACATTATTCACAATAGCCAAAAGGTGGAAGGGACCCAAGTGTCCATCAACAGATGAATGGATAAACAAAATGTGACATTTATATACAATGGAATATCTTTGAGCCTTAAAATGAAAGGACATTCTGACATATGTTACAACATGGATAGTCAGGGTTATCCAGAGAAACAGGTTCAACAGGATATGTATAGAGAGAGATTTATTTTAAGGAATTGGCTCACATAGTGGAGGTTTGGCAAGGCCAAAATCTGATGAGGTAAGCCAGCAGGCAGGCTGGAGACTCCAGTACAAAGGCTGTGGGCTGGCACAATCTCTTCTTGCTCTGAGGAATCTCCTCTTGTTCTGTTAAAGGCCTTCACCTGATTAAATGCAGCCGACCCACATTATGGAGAATAATCTGCTCTACTCAGAATCCACTCATTTCAATGTCAATCTCATCTAAAAACCACCTTCACAGGGCGCCTAGGTGGCTTAGTCAGTTAAACATCCGACTCTTGGTTTCAGCTCAGGTCATGATCTCAGGGTCATGAGATCAAGCCCTGAGTCAGACTCTGTGCCGCCTGCTTAAGAGTCTTTCCCCCTCCCTCTTCCTCCCCCCTCCGCTCCTCCCCCCCTTACACACGCTCTCTCTCTCTAAAATAAATAATAAATAAATAAATAAATAAATAAATAAATAAATAAAATCTATTAAAAAACAACAACAACAAACCATCTTCACAGAAACATCCAGAATAATGTTTGACCAAATATTTGGACACCATGGCCCACTTCAAACTGACACAAAAAACTATCACATTGTGATAAGTGAAATAAGCCAGTCACAAAAAGACAAATACTGTATGATTCCACTTACATGATGTACCCAGAGTAGCAAATTCATAGAGACAGAAAGTAGAATGGAAGTTATCAGGGCCTGAGTTGAATGGGAAATTGGGAATTGTTGTTTAATGGGTAGAGAGTTTCAGTGTTGTGAGAAGAAGGGAGTTCTGGACATCAGTTGCACAACAAAGTAAATGCACTTACCACTAAACTGTACACTTAAAAATAGTTAATCAGTTAATCTTATGTTATATATATTTTAACACAATTTTTTTAAAGATTTTATTTATTTATTTGACAGAGAGAGACACAGCAAGGAAGGGAACACAAGCAGGGGGAGTGGGAGAGGGAGAAGCAGGCTTCCCACAGAGCAGGGAGCCAGATGCGGGGCTCAATCCCAGGACTCTGGGATCATGACCTGAGCTGAAGGCAGACGCTTAACGACTGAGCCACCCAGGCGCCCGAACACATTTTTTTTTAAAAGAGGATAAAATCAGGGAATAACCTTTAAGAAATGGCCCCATCCGCCTGGGTGGCTCAGTCGTTAAGCGTCTGCCTTCGGCTCAGGTCATGATCCCGGTGTCCTGGGATCGAGCCCCGCATCGGCTCCCTGCTCCACGGGATGCCTTCTTCTCCCTCTCCCACTCCCCCTGCTTGTGTTCCCTCTCTTGCTGTGTCTCTCTCTGTCAAATAAATAAATAAAATCTTAAAAAAAAAAAAAAAGAAATAGCCCCATCTGGGGGGAAGGAAGTGAGAAATTGATTGACTAGAGCAGTAGAGGGCAAATTAGGGTCATCACGAAGGCAAAAGAGAAAATGACCAAAAATATTGGATACAGCAAGGTCAAGGAGAACAATAAGTAGAAAAAAATCCACTGGCAACTTAAGGAGGGAGAGTTAGTACAGTAGTTGGAACAAAATCACTTTGCAAGGGTTAAGAAAAGCCTAAATGATAAGGTTGGAGGAGCAGAAGTACTGCACCCATTCAAGGAGTCTGGAGGGGAGGAGAGGAACAAGGGAGGGATGCATGCTGGAAGGCAGGAGGGGGGTACTGTGCAAAGGAAGACAGGATGCTAACACTAGGACCAAGTGAGAGTGCAACCTCTCCCTCTGCTGTTGACCAGCTTCCTCTGCCTGGTAGCTGATTTGGTCAAGGTCCCCCCAAATACAAGACTAGGGGCCCTACGAACACCTGGATACAGATGGGGCAGCTGTCTTCATACAGAATGTGCAGCCGGGGAGTGGTGGCAAGAATTAGAGATCATGACAGGGTTGGGGGTATCCTGAGAAGTCCCAAGTTCAAAGGAAATTGAAATAAAATTCAGAAAGTCAAAGAGCATAAAGCTAGGCTGAAGGCCAATGGGGCACATGCCAATATACAAAGCACTGGAAGTCCCAGTGCTTTGGTTCAGAAGCTAAATCTTTAAAGTTTAGCTTTCCCACCAACTCCACCTTTGTCATCACCAAGTATTGACACTTTTCTATTGACTCAGAGGATGCTGCCTTATACCTGGTGTATTAGTCAGGATTCTCCAGAGAAACAGAACCAATAGGATGTGTGTGTGTGTGTGTGTGTGTGTGTGTGTGTGTGTGTGTGAAGAAAGAGCAAGGAAGAAAGAGATAGATTTAAGGAATTGCCAATTATGGAGGCCAGCAAGTCCAAAATCTGCAGAGTGGACCATCAGGCTGGAGACACAGGGAAGAGCTCATGTTGCAGTTCAAGTCCAAAGGTCATCTGCTGGCAGAATTCCCTCTTGCTCTCAGGAGGTCAGTTTTTTATTCTATTCAGGTCTTCAACTGATTGGATGAGGCCCACCCACATTATAGAGGGCAATCTGATTTACTTACTTACAATTACAATGTTAATCTCATCCAAAGGCATCCTCATAGAAACATCCAGAATAAAGTTTAACCAAATATGTGGGCACTATGGCCCAACCCCACTGACACACAAAATTAACCATCATACTCAGGTAATAATGACAGCCATTGATTAAGCACTTATTTCTATACCTATACCAAGTACATGGCTATCTCATTCATTCCATAAAGCCTATAAAGTAAGTTTAAATATTCTCATTTTTAAATATGAGGAAAACAGTTTTAGAAGGATTTTATATAAAAGTTCATAAAATTTTTTAAAAGTTCATAAAATTTAGAAGCAATCAAAACCATTCTGATCATGGTTAACTTCAAAGAAGTCAAATTAATCAATTTGACCAAAGTGGGAACTAGTTCTTTGGTCTTTCCCCATCTTTATTTTTTTTTCCAACCTATTGTTTTTTGTTTATAAGTAGGCTCCACGCCCAGCATGGAACCCGACATGGGGCCTGAACTCATGACCCTGAGATCAAGACCTGGGCTGAGATCAAGAGTCAGAGGCTTAACCAACTGAGCCGCCCAGGTGCCCCTCTTTCCACATCTTTCAAACTTCTCAGAACTGAGTTCCAATAGCCTAAATGTCAGGGCCTTTGAAAAAAAAAATTATTGTCCTCAGGGCTTCTGGGTGGCTCAGTCAGTTGAGCATCTGACTCTTGATTTCAGCTCGGGTCACGACCTCAGGCCCTGGGATCAAGCCCCAAGATGGGCTCTGCGCTAAATGGGGAGTCTGTTGGAAATTCTCTCTCTCTCTTTCCCTCTGCCCCTCTCCCCTCTCACGTTGCTCTCTCCTTCTGTCTAAAATAAATAAATCTTTAAAAAATTTTTTTTTAAATTAGAATGGACTCCAAGTTATCCCAACAAGAATGTCACTCCATCACAATCCAAATGCTCTTTCTTAAGTGAGAGAGATCGGGCTGGAGTTATTGCCACCCCAAAGTTTACACCCACAGCCCACCTCTTTCTTCTCCAACCTGAAATCTGAATGTGCCCTGCAGTGTGTCAGGCCTAGGAATTTCATCCAACGTGTGTGGAGGTGAAAACAATTGATTGGACACTAGGTGTCACGCTGTCTGCCACCCTACTCTTCCTCCCTCTTATCATTTGAAACTTTACCTGAAGGTTGAAGGAGATACTTCCAGAGCTGTCCCTCTCATTCGGGTTTCTCCCCAATCCCCCAAAACTAAGATGAAAGTCATCTTGTCTTAGGATGAGAAAATAAGTTTTATTGACAAATGCATATGCTGATAGCCAACAATCCCCTAGGGAGAGAAAGGACCAGAAACATACTGTGTCTTCTAAGATCAAAAATGCCTCCTTGGGTGTAATCCAAAGTAGCCCATCCAGTTGGACTATGGTAGGAGAGCTACTGGGAAGCAAAGTACTGACATCTGGACAAACAAATGGAAAAGGCTTTAGTCCCAGAGCAATTAGGAGCAACTTATTTGGTGGCAGGCCCAGCTTCTACAGGTGGACTTTCAGATGTCGGGACCTGTGACCGTATTGACTGTTTCTCTGAATTGCCTACTACGAGTGGAGCATTTTTCACCCTCCTATTGGACCAGTTGCACAATGAATTTAGAGGGCTTTGAAGCCACTTCCAGATTTTCTCTTTCTGACTGTCATCATTATCATCTCTTTCCCATTTGACACTCTTAAACAGTCGTTTCTTTCTTTTGGGGGTTTTCATGCCAGTGACTTTGAAGATGTTATTGCTCAGCTGGCTCAGCCTGGAAGTACAGACAGACCCAGGGTTAACATATTCATCAATTTTTTTCAGAGTAGTATTGACCAAAGCCTGGATAGACTCCACAGGATTGTTCCTCAGACTTCCAATAGCTGAAATGAGAAAGGAGGTCAACTCAGATTCCATCTCCAAGGACTATCTACCCAAACCCCTTTATTTTCCACCCCCCACACCAGGTTATTATTATATAACTTCATTTAGAATAATTTTTGTCACTGTAAAAGTAATACCTGTTTTACTCTAGAAAAATGTTTACATAGACATCATTTTTCTAAAAGGAAAGAAAGAAAAATCACTTATCTGCCCCCCTGAGACAATACTGTTAATATTTCCGTACCTATCCTTGCAGTATATATATATTTTTAAGTCATCTCTATGCCCCACGTGGGGCTTGAACTCATGACGCTGAGATCAAGAGTCTCATGCTCTACTGACTGAGCCAGCCAGGCGCCCCTGTGGTATTTTTTTTTTTTTAAAGATTTTATTTATTTATTTGACAGAGAGAGACACAGCGAGAGAGGGAACACAAGCAGGGGGAGCGGGAGAGGGAGAAGCATGCTTCCCACGGAGCAGGGAGCCTGATGCGGGGCTCGATCCCAGGATCCTGGGATCATGACCTGAGCCGAAGGCAGACGCTTAACGACTGAGCCACCCAGGCACCCCTGTGGTATTTTTTTAATACCAAATATGGACACTTCTTTTTACAAAAATAAGATTTACATTTTTTCATCCCATAAAATATTCCTCTATATAAGGTAATATCCAATCACATGATTCTATCATAATCTCTTTGATGAAGTCTCTACTAGTGAATAATTAGGTTGTCTGCAGTTTTTCACCATTAGAAACAATCACCACTGATTCATTTGACAGCTATTACGGACCACTATGCTAGGTGCTGGGGATGCAGGGGTGAACAAGAAAGATTCCCTACCCTCAAGAACTTAACGTTCTAGTGGAGGAAAGACAAAAACAAACAAGGAAACATAAATGAAGTGCAAAGAAGGAAATTTAACAGCGTAATGACAGTGAATAACCAGGAAAGACCTCTTTAGATAGGCGGGTCAGGGAATGCCTCTCTGAGAAGGTGACATGTGAACTAAGAGGCAAGAAGCCACGTGAAGAGCAAGGGCAGAAGCATTCCCAAAGGTCAGGGAGGCGGCACCTACTCACAATGTAGAAAGTAACCAGTGTGGCTGTAGCTTCTAGTGAGAGGGGAAGTGCTACAGGCTCTGGGTGGAGAGAGTCAGAAGCTGGCCCAGTCAGGGCCGTGGGGCCAAGCGTAAGGGACCAGACTTCGACCCGAAGAGCAATGGAAGGCCACTGAAGGATTTTAAGCCAGGGGTGACATGATTCAGCGTACATGTTTCAAAGAGAATCTGGCTGCTGTGTAGAGAAGTAGAGAGAAGCAGCAGATGTGGGGGTTGTTAGAGCGGTCCAGTTAGGGAAGGGCGGCCAGGGGCTTAGATTCAGGTGGGAACAGAGGGTGCTAAATTGCTTAGCACCCAAAGGATAAAGAGAACAGGAAGAATCTTGGCTCAAAAGGGCCTTCAAGCCCATCAAAGTCTACAGCTTCATGTTGATCTCATTTATACTTAGAACAGGAGAAAGAACTCGGCTTCAGCTACACAGCAGATATGTAAATCCTGTGAAGAACCATTTCTTGACCACAAGGCTTGTTAGGCACTGGAATGGGTGTAGACTTAACTGGAATTACTTTCCTTGGGAAAAAGTCCCTCCTGTGTAGGTAATGTAGGCAGTCTTTCCTGGAGACTGGGTGGGATGAGGAAGGCAAGATGAACTCTCTGGTATACTGAGGAGTCTAGGGTTTTCATTCTAAAATACTTCCGCTGAAATTCTCCAGTTGCTGGGGATAGGGGCCCGCTACCCTGTAGAGACTTGAGTTGTAAAAAATGAAGAGAAGGCAGCACAGGTACAAAATGCCGGGGTCAGAAGCCAGGGTTAGAGCCCTAAGGGGACAGATGCTACTACCTAGTCACTGGAGGGCGGGAGAGAGCACGGCTACTGTCAACAGCGGCTAACAAGTTCATTCTTCCTTGACCAGAGGTCCAAGTACACTCCTTACCTGCCATTGCCAGCACCTTGCCCCATCTTAGCCCAGAAGCCTGCGTCAACTCAACACAAAGGTTTTGTGGGACACCTCTGTGCTAAGCAGAGCGTCACGCTTTACACGCATGTGTATCTGATACTTAAACAATGTTTAAAGTCAGCACTATTATGCTCACGATACAGATGAAGAAACTGAAGCACAGAGGCAGTAACGTGCCCAAGTTCACATGGCTCATTACGGAGAGAGCTAGTATTTCAGAGCCGGCTGGCTGACACTGGAGTCCATGCTCTTCATTACACACTGACTTGGAAGAAAGGACCCTTAAAAGTCATTGACTTCACCACTTTTTCTTCTCAAGATAAAGAGCTGTAATAAATCATACAGGAAACGAGAACGTGTCTATCTCCAGATGTCTGCTGGGCATGTCCTCTGAAGTATGATGCCACCATTCCTTCAAAGGCAGCGTACCCAGAATATCAGCTTGAAGCAGGTGCCAGAATATGAAGTGGGCTCCAACCAGAGGGCAAGTTCCCGAGGACAAGCATATGCAGGACCAGAACAGCACGAACAGCCCAGCTGGGGCATAGACATACATGCCCATTCTTTTATACAAAAGCACTGGAACCCAGGGGCAGGGCTATAAAAGCCAACATTCTCTCTATCTTATCTCTCGATCAAAGGAAACCAACTGGGCACCTGGGTGGCTCAGTCGGTTAAGTGACTGCCTTCGGCTCGGGTCATGATCCTGGAGTCCCGGGATTGAGTCCCGCATCGGGCTCCCTGCTCGGCAGGGAGTCTGCTTCTCCCTCTGACCCTCCCCCCTCTCATGCTCCCTCTATCTCATTCTCTCTCTCAAATAAATAAATTAAAAAAAAAAAAATCAGTAGCATTGGGGCACCTGGGTGGCTCAGTCGGTTAAGCGACTGCCTTCGGCTCGGGTCATGATCCTGGAGTCCCGGGATCGAGTCCCGCATCAGGCTCCCTGCTCGGCGGGGAGTCTGCTTCTCCCTCTCTCCCTGCGTCTCCCCCTGCATGTGCTCTATCTCTCTCTCTCTCAAATGAATAAATAAAATCTTTAAAAAACAAAACAAAACAAAACAAAAAAACAAAGCAAACAAACTGTGGCAGGGAAGATCGTGAAGAACAAATAATTCAAACATCATTTCTATCGGGCGCTTGAGTGAATCGCCTACCCACCACCTATCACAGACACCCTAAACCCTTCCCACCCCCCTTAGAGGAGTTATGAACTGTGTTTCCCCAAGTACCCCTACCACCCACAGCAAAATCCTCAATCTTCACCGCGGCTGAAAAGCCCAGTATGATTCTGGCCACACTGCGCTCCTCCCTGCTCATCTCCTGCTCTTCCTTTTGCTCACTCCACGCCAATCACAATGACTTCTTGTTCTTCCTTGACATGCCAAGTGCTCTTCCTTCAGATATCAGGTGGTTCACACCCTCACTGCCTCTGGGTCTCTGCTCCAGCACCCGTTCTCAGAGGGGCACCCCTGCCCTGCCCTCTGACCCTCTGGCCCCTGGCCTTGCCTTACTTTCTCTATAGTGCCTGTTCACATATATGTACTTGGTTATGGCCCCTCCCCTCCTCCGCTGGGGGGTGGGATGGGGGGGTGCGAACAGACAACATCAGTTTTGTTTGCTGCGGTATCCCAGTGCTTAGAAGAGTACCTGGTACCCAGTAGGTTTTCAGTAATTAAGAAACTCATTTAATTGCGAGCAAGGGCAGAAGTACCTGCTATAGCAAACACAGGTGTGGCTGTTTGGCTATTTTAGGGACCAAAGGGTTTTGAAGGTGAGGTAAAATTTCTCTTCTGATATGCTTTGGGAATATCAGCTCTTCTTCTGCCACACCCCAGATTCCCATTCTCTCTTTCTCGGACTTTGGTCAAATTAAAGGACAACGGAGTGAGCATGAGTTAGTGCAAAGATCCCTGAAGTGGGAAGTTGAGCTCTTGGCTCGCCCAGTAATTCGCTTCCGTGATCTTAGACAAATGACTCGGCCTCCGAAATTAGTTCAGGATGAGGAAATGCTTCTCTGAAGTACACCTAACTTCAGAGGCAGAAGAGAATAAGTGGGTAACCTCAGGGGTCTGGATGAGTTACCTCAAGTCCCATATAGTCTACAAATGCTTAGAATCTCTTTTATCTTAAAAATTCATGCATAATTTGCATTGTACTCCAAAATATGTCTATTATTAAAACATTCTTAATGTTTTAATTTAATTTTTTTAAGTTCATTTTTTTTTTTAAGTAATCTCACCACCTAATATGGGGCTCAAACTCACAATCCCCAGATCAAGAGTTGCATGCTCTACTGACTGAGCCAGCCAGGCACCCCTAAATGTTTTAATATTAAAAAGAGTATCATTTAGAAATATATACTAAAATATTTATAGATGAATAATATGAAGTCTGAGGTTTGGTTCAGAATAATCTGCAGGGAGGGGTGCAGGTAGAGAAATAGAGAAAACAAGATAAACATGAGTTGATACTTTTTGAAGCTGGGGGGTGAGGGGGTATTATACTATTTTCTGGACTTTTAAAGAATGCTAAAAATTAAAAGAAAAATCTTAAAACAGCCAGAGAAAAGGGCTAGATTACCTGCAATGGAACAAAAATTAGAATGACAGCAGGCTTCTTTTAGCAACAAAGAAAACCAGAAGACAATAGTATGGTATCTTCGAAGTGCTGGGAAAGAAACTGTTGGTCTAGAATTGTGTCACTACTAGGGGCCCCTGGCTGGCTCAGTCAGGGGAACGTGCGACTCTTGATCTCAGGGTTGTGGGTTCGAGTCCTACTTCGGGTGTACTGATTACTCTTAAAAAAAAAAAAGGATTATGTCACTAGTAAAGCTACCTTGCAAGAATGGAGGTAAGAAACAGTCACTACAAACAAACAAAAAGCAAGAGAGCATAACATGAAGATACTGGCACTAAAGAAACTTCTAAAAAGTGTACTTCAGGATGAAAAAAATGAAGGATGGTCAGGGATACAACAAGGAAAGGGGAGCATATAACACTGCACATAAATCTACACTGTATAAAGTAACAACAATAATCATAGTATCTAAATTCTAGGTTAAAAAAACTAAAATAATCACTAATAAAAGCCTATAAAGTGGGAGGGGTGGTGATTCGAATTCGTGTCAACACTGGAGGGAAGGGTTAAAATGTCGTTTCACTTTAAACCCTGTTAAGCTCAATAGGTATGAAAAAAGTCTACTTTCTGGACAAATACCATATGATTTCACTCATGTGGAATTTAAGAGACAAAACAGATGAACATAGAGGAAGGGAAGGAAAAATAAAATAAGACGAAAACAGAGAGGGAGACAAACCATAAGAAACTCTTAACTCTAGGAAACAAACTGAGGGTTGCTGGAGGGGAGGTGGGTGGAGGGATGGGGTAACTGGGTGATGGACATTAAGGAGGGCACATGATGTAATGAGCACTGGGTGTTATACGCAATTGATGAATCACTAAATCCTACCTCTGAAACTAATAAGACACTATACATTAATTGAATTGTATTTAAATAAAAAATTTTTTAAAAGTCTACTTTCTTGTAACCAGCCTGAAGAAATACTTACACCTATATACAAAGAGATGAATATAAAAATGTTCATGGTAGCATTGTTTGAATAGCAAAAAACTGGAAATGATTTAAATAACAATCTACCAAGGGTTATAAGATTGTAGCAGATCTGTATGTACCAACATACTGAGTGGGGAAAAAAGCAAGTTGCGTATATCTATATATCTATCTATATGGTATAGATCATAAATTATATAGTATATAACATATATATTCTATGTGTACAGCAAAAGAATACAGGACTACAACAAACAAGCAGGGGAAAGTGGGGCGAGGAGCCAGACTTGGGGGTGAATGGAACTTTACCCTAAAAACAAAAACAAAAACTTCATCTTTATCAATAATGTTTCTATTTTTTTGTAAACAGACTATACTCATGTATTTCTTCCATAAATATAAATTAATTTTAAAATATTTTACTGCAATAAAAAAGAACACAAAACTACAAGTTCTTCAGGGACAGGGTGTTTCTCCCTTGAATACTGCTGTAGCTAGCAGCTGACGGCACACGATAAATGTTGAGTGACTAGAACATTTTTGTTAGCTGTGTTTTTCTCTAACTATAATGACAATGGATAACTCGTTTTCTTCCTCCTACTTAGCTCAATTTTCTACTTTTATTTATTTAGTCTTTCAAGATTTTATTTTTTTAAGTGATCTCTACACCCAACATGGGGCTCGAACTCACAACCCCAAGATCAAGAGTCACATGTTCCTCCGACTGAGCAAGGCAGGTGCCCCATTTTCTACTTTTATATATAACATTTATAATAGTAAAAATATACTTTATTTGAAATAACAAAATATGGCCTTAAGGAGACCCCCCCCCCGCCTCCGCTTTCTGTCTTGCCCCATTGCCTTGTGTCACCCAGAGCTCAGGGACAAGGCTCGGACTCACCATTCTGTAACAGCTCCACATCATCCTCAGGTATTTGACTCATGTTTAGCTTCTTAGCTGTTAATTCTAAAGACAGGACAGATGCAGTCATTCCAGAATTCCTGGACCTTTGGGCCACCCTTACCCCTTCTGTGGCAAACAAGGAAGCTTGAAAACCAGTTCTAGCAAGAAATGCTTCTATGAGATGCCTTGTAGCCTACGTGTTGGCGTTCTAGTGGAAGAACAACGCTCAGAGCAGCGGTGACCCAGAAAAATGTTGTTGGCAGGTGACAGGTAGGACAGGAACCCAGGGTGTCAAACTCCATGGGGTTCCCACACCAGTAGAAAAATAGACAAAGGGTATGAGGCAATTAATTTGCAAAAATAAAATATGCATTGCCAATAAACAGGAAAAGAATATTTCACCTCACTTCTGATAAAAAGAATGTTCCTCAGAACAACAGCAACTCTTTTTGCCTATCAAATTGGTAATAATTTTTTTTTTGTCTTTTCAGATTTTATTCTGTAAACATTTCATTTTACACGGCTAGATTCACACACCCGTTTGTATCTTTCTTTTTTCTTGTTCCATCATATAACACAAACATTCTTGCATAACACTAACAATTCTGCAAAGTTGGGCGCCTGGGTGGCTCAGTTGGTTAAGCGACTGCCTTCGGCTCAGGTCATGATCCTGGAGTCCCGGGATCGAGTCCCGCATCGGGCTCCTTGCTCGGCAGGGAGTCTGCTTCTCCCTCTGACCCTCCTCCCTCTCATGCTCTCTGTCTCTCATTCTCTCTCTCTCAAATAAATAAAGAAAATCTTTAAAAAAAAATTAAAAAAAAAATAAAAATAAAAATGCAACAGATTTCTGAATATTAATTTTGCATCCTGTAACTTTGCTGAATTCATTTATCTGTTCTAGTAGGGTTTTCTTTAATGGACTCTTTAGGGGTTTTTAGGGTTTTCTATATATAGTATCATGTCATCTGCAAATAGTGAAAGCTTTACTTCTTCCTTACCAATTTGAATGCCTTTTACTTATTTTTCCTGTCTGATTGCTGTGGCTAGGACTTCCAATACTATGTTGAATAAATGTGGTAAGAGTAGATATCCTTGTCTTGTTCCTGATCTTAAAGGAAAAGCTCACAGTTTTCCACCATTGAGTATGATGTTAGCTGTGGGTTTTCATATATGGCTTTTATTATGTTGAGGTATGTTCTCTCTAAACCTACTTCATCATGAATGGATGTTGTGCTTTGTCATGTGCTTTTTATGCATCTATTGAGATGATCAGATGGTTTTCATCTTTTCTCTTATAAATGAAATCTTCTTATTTGCAATGACATGAATGGAGCTAGAGTATTATGCTAAGTGAAATAAGTCAGTCAGAGAAAGACAAATACCATATGATTTCACTTATATGTGGAGTTCTTTTAATTTTAATTTTTTTATATGTGAAATTTAAAAACAAAACAAATGAACAAAGGAGTGGGAGGAGAGAGGGAGACAAACAAGAAACACACTGATGGTTACCAGAGGGGAGAGGGTGGGTGGATGGGTGACATAGTTGATGGGGATTAAGGAGGGCACTTGCTGTGATGAGCACCAGGGGATGTATGGAATTGTTGAATCACTATATTGTACACCTGAAACTAATATTACACTGTATGTTAAATAACTGAAATTTAAATAAAAACTTTAACAAAAATTGAAATCAGCCTCACAGAAATACTATGCTCTAATGAGAAAAGCACCATTTGGAAATTTCAAAGGAGAGAGACACTGTGGGATATAATAAAAAGGATACTTTGCCTTTCAAACTTATCAAGCAAATTGATATTTATTAATCTCTTTGAGTTGCTAAGTACTATAAAATTAGTCTATAGCTACGCTGCATGATTGTGAACAAAAACTCTATGTGGTGGAATGGAGAGGGGAATTTACACTAAAATGAAGTAGACTCATTCTGATTTATATGTAATGTACTAACAATACCAAAATGGAAGAAGCTAAGTGAATGCCAGGTATCCTTAACCAATTTTATGGCTACTAACAAATGTTTCCATAATACACTTCTCCAAAGTTCCAACAGGGCACATTCTAAGGAATACATCTTGCATGAATGACCTTATTATAGAAATGTGTAATTAGTAAAGTTTAGCAACACCTATGACTGAACCCTGGGGCATGATCTGTACTTTGCAATATGTGAACTCAAATTACTGTTTCTTGTGATATTGATTAGGTAATAAATAAGCAAAATGTTGCTGGGGGGGAAGTTTTCTGTCTAAAAAAACATTGAAATAATTAGGTATATTTTATTGCAATAAAAAATAGTATAAAGGAAAAAGTGGCAGAGGGAATCTTTTGAAAGTAATGGGATTGTTCTGTATCTTCAGTGCGATTGTGGTTTTGCCAGGATATAAAACTGTCGAAACTCATCCAATTAAATAGATTCATTTAACTGTATAAAATTATTGCTCAATAAAGTTGATAAGGGGGAAAAAAGACACCAAAAAAATTTAAAAAATAAAAAAACACTGAAACAATAAAAAGTATGTTCTTGGACCATAAAGGAATTAGATCAGAAATCAATAACTATAAGAGAATAGAAAATTCTCCAAACATTTGGAAATTAAACAGCACACTTCTAAATAATCCATTGGCCAAAGAGGAAATCACAAGAGAAATTAAAAAATATTTTGAACTGAATGATACTGAAAGAACAACATCTTAAAATGTATAGGATGCAGCTCAAGTAGTACTTAGAGGAAAATTTATAAAACTAAATGTTTATATTAAAAAAGAGAAAGGGGTGGATGAAGCGGCTGGTACACAGGACTGCTGCACTGTCTCCACTGTGGGAGGAGGTGTAGGTGGCCTGACCCCTATACTCCCTCCCAATGGCCGTGGTCCTCATTTCCCTTCTTCCCAGAGGTGTATTTTAGAGGATTCCTGGGAAAATGGCTCACCTCATCCCTTGAATACAATTGGATAACCCTCGCATCAGTGTAAACAACCCAGAAAATGACCCAAAGCCTTTCAGAACAAACTCCACAACTAAATGCAGAGAAGAGGCCACATCAAAGAGAGTAGGAAAGGGAGAGATATGGTGGGGAGCTAAACAAACCTGGGGGACTGTCCAATGGAAGGAGGGATTCATGGACAGAGAGGGGAGAGAAACAGACTATCACACCAGAAAGCCCACACAAGGAAGACAAATCCCCATAACGTTTGGCTTTGAAAACCAGAGGGGTCAAATTTCCTCAGTTCTTAAACCAGGAGACTTGAGACCTAGAATTTTAAACATCAGCGGGGCTTGGCTTTGGGAGAGCTGGAAGGGTGCTCTTAAAGAGACAGCACAACAAACAGTCCTGCAGCAGTTTGAAAAATGCCTAGGGTATTTGGGAGGGAGAGTTTACTAATCTCAGAGTATGTCCTAGAAGGACAGAGATTGTTGGGAAGCTCCTCCAGGAACAAAGAAGTGGACAGGTGCCATTTCTCACCCCTGACCCCCAGCATAAACACACAGCCTTCTGCGGGAACCAGTGCGGCACCCCTCCCTATCTAACTTGCTAATGCCACACATCCTGCCCCCTCCCCATCCAAGTCTGCAGATCCATTCTCTCCAGCCAGGCATGCCCCAGTCCCTGTGCTGTGGGTCTCCTCCCCCAGGGGACCAGCTCATAAACCTTGCTAACCCTGCACTTCCTGCCCCTGAGCACATTGAAGATCCACCTCTTCCAATATACTCTTGGCCTGAGCCCATGCAAAGTGGTGCTCGATATAGCTTCAAATCGGGCAATGTGATGCCCCCAGCTTTGTTTTTCTTTTTCAACATTTCCTTGGCAATTCGGGGTCCTTTCTGATTCCATACAAATTTTAGGATTGTTTGTTCCAGCACTTTGAAAAATGTCATTGGAATTTTGATCGGGATGGCATTGAAGGTATAGATTGCTCTGGGTAGCATAGACATTTTAACAATATTTATTCTTCCAATGCATGAGCATGGAATGTTTTTCCATCTTTTTGTGTCTTCTTCAATTTCTTTCATGAGTGTTCTGTAGTTCCTAGAGTATAGATCCTTTACCTCTTTGGTTAGGTTTATTCTGAGGTATCTTATGGTTTTTGATGCTATTGTAAATGGAATTGTTTCTCTAATTTCTCTTTCTACAGTTGCATTATTAACGTATAAGAAAGCAACTGATTTCTGTGCATTGATTTTGTATCCTGCCACATTACTGAATTGCTGTATGAGTTCTAGTAATTTGGGGGTGGAGTCTTTTGGGTTTTCCACATAATGTATCATGTTGTCTGTGAAAAGAGAAAGTTTGACTTCTTCTTTGCCAATTTGAATACTTTTTATTTTTGTTGTCAGACTGCTGTTGCTAGGACTTCTAGTACTATGTTGAACCATAGTGGCAAGAGTGGGCATCCTTGATGTGTTCCTGATCTTAAGGGAAAGGCTCTCAGCTTTTCCCCATTGAGGATGATATTCGCTGTGGGTTTTTCATAGATGGATTTTATGAACTTGAGGAATGTTCC